TTAACTTGTAGTGGGATTTAGCAGATTTAAAAATTGTTCCTTTGTAGAATAATACAGCTTTGCATTGTTTTAATTTTGCATTTTTTGTAAGCTCTCCTGGCGAACAAATGAACTTTCAGATACCTATCTTCTACTTGAATATTCGCAAACATGTGAACTGATTTAATGTTCAGTTATTTGTTTCGGCTCCTCGCACACGCACACACACACTTATAGTTTTATATTGTTAGGAAAGTTGCTAACTCATGAAAGATATTGAAGTCGAAAGCAAAGGATTGAAGGTAATGAGATCAAACGATGCCAAAAGGCCCATATATATAATTTTTTTGACCTGATAGCTAAGCGAGGCAGCTGTTAGTATCATTTTTGTAAGTCTTTGGTATGACTGGACCGGGTATCAAACCCACGACCTCACGCATTAGAGGCGGGCGCTCTAACCAATCGAAAAATATAACATGGTAATTATATGCAAATAACTTGTGTCATGAGGGCAACGTTTTGCGTAAGTTTGACTCAGTAGAAGAATCATATTCAAAAACGCAAAAAATAAGTTTTTATATAAAATTCTTTCCTCAAAGTGAACATCTTAAGTGTCTTGAATGAAAAGTACTGAACCAGAGCTTAAGCAGCTTGAAGTGAAGATTCATGAGTTGTGTCTTAGCATAGCGAGTAAAAGGTATTACTTTGGCGCCGATGTGTACGGGAAGGCATCAGCAAAGTTATTACGTTAACCGTTTTTGCGAGACAAGGGAATAGATCAACACACAGACGCTTGTTTTAAAATGTGAATGTGAACAAGCCAGTGATGCACATCGCATTATATAAATTACGTATATACTTTGTAAACAGTGTAAAATAATATTATTTTACATTTGCAGGATGGAAGAAGAGAAGATAGAGCGTTTGCGAGTGAGGATCCTGCAATGTCCAATCTGTATGGACGAATACAAGGACCCAAGGATTCTGACGTGTCATCACAGCGTCTGTATGGGCTGCCTGGAGGATTTCATTCGCAGTTCCTCCTCAACCGGCCGAGTGTTCCGCTGTCCTTCCTGTAGAGCTGAAGTATGCGTACCCCGTGGAGGAGTCAAAGATTTTCCGCCAAATTTCTATATCAATTGCATTCAAGATGAAATTGGCGCGAAACCATATTTTGGGATATGTGACATCTGCAACAAAGATTGGTTAGTCTCTCAGTACAGATGTGTTGAGTGCGATCTTGATATTTGCAGATTTTGCGTCCACGAGCATCGATTATTCAAAGAACATACGAGCAGAAAACCGAATATAATTCGAATTGAAACCGGAAATACATCATTGCCACTGGCATCAAAGAGAACATGTGAACATCATCCGGACGAGACCCTTCAGCTGTATTGCTGCACATGCAGCATTCCAGTTTGCATTACTTGCGTGTGCGACTTCCACAAGAAGCACGAGACACTGCCTTTAGTAAAGAAACTGAACTCCGCCGCCAAGCAACTTCAGTCTGAACATGACCAGATACAGGCTGACCTCATCCAGGTCAACAAAACTTTAAGCGATCTCGACAATTTAGAAGCTACCATGAATACAAATTCTGATGAAGTCATCACAGAAATTCGCCACCAGGCCAGAAGTATAATCTTAGCAATAGACAAAATGGCAGAAGCCAGGGTACAGCAAGTGGTTGAATATAAAAATAAGATCAACCCAGACGTACATGCTTACAAAAAGGAACTGAAACATTTCTCAGACATTTTACAGAAAGGAGGCACATTTCTAGAAGATATACAGGAAGGGGATGTAAGCCTGGAACTCGTTGACGCATTTCAGAAGTACAAGACAGGAGTAGATGTGACGCGGAAATCGGTGTGTAACAAGGAAATTTACCAGAAATATTTCTCCTTCCGTCCGGGCAAGTCAGTAGAGAGATTTGGATTTTATGGAGTTCATTTTGGTTATTGTCATACAGACCATAGTTCAGCTGTTTTCCTTGCTGACAGTTCAAAACGGAGAAAAGTTCGCGACATTTGCAAATTGGTTCTGGAAAAGATTACCTTAGGCAGACTAGTTTCATTGCTTATGGTTTGCTTTGTGCTTATTGGCATTTTCAAATTAGCATGGACATTTGTAAACAATGACTTTGAGCAGTTCCCATTGGAAACGTTTGTTGGTCTAATATTCATTATCTATATCCTCACTGCGGCCATATTTGCTTACAGAAAGTCATCAATTAAAGTCGTTGAAATTCGAAAGTAAAGAGAAAGTTGAATCGTCAAAATAACAGCGAATTGCAGATTTGAAAAGAGCTACATGTACTTATTTCATCATACTTGTATGGAACAATGTTCAGTAATATGTTTTCACCCTTTTTTCCACATAAGTTGGAATTCTATTTTACACTTTATCATATTTAAACTTTTAAATTCTAAACCAGAGAAAATATGTTTCAGATGGTATTGTTCAGCATGTTTTTATTTCAAAGTTGTTCTGGTATAGAATTATACCTGATTAGTACAACCGTAATTATATTCCCGTGATAAAAACATCGTGTGCATTACCGGTCAGAGCAAACTTTGTGTACGTATATTTTTGTGTTTTCATTAGGTGTTCCCCACCAAAAACGTTTTGAAATGACGGGGTGTCATTTTGTGCTCTTTCGAAAGAAACATGCGCCTTGATGTAGCTCAACTCTTTTACCTATATCAGTGATATACTTTACAAAACAAAGGTAAAGTAAAAAAAAAAAAAATAAGGATAGAGCGGATATCTGCTAATTGACATAATGATTCCTAAAGCTAGGAGGAATAATCACAATTATTTTTTTTTTGTTCCACAGGAGTGGCCAGTTCTACGTCAATATCCCCTTCACCCCCCCCACCTCAGCAAAAGAAGTTGCCTCACTTAATAACACTGGATGTATGCGTTGTTACACTCGTATTAATTTCAACAACTATTGGTAATATAACCAACGTTTTGGATCTGTTCAACTTTTTTTGGTTTTTGTTTAAAGACATGCAAAATGAGCAGCTTTATGCTTTGTATGGTATTTCTATTAAACCAAAACTCCCGAGTTTTGTACATATAATTGTTGGGTTATATGCATTCAATGTAATCAGCATACGAAATACCTAGAGAAATTTTATATTGCCAGTTGTAAAATTTCTGTATTAATTCTTGTGATGATAATATTTTATCCACAATTGTAGAGATTGAGAATCTGACGTAAACGCTCATTTAAATTGAAATTTATCAAATAATTCGAACAACCTTTTACAAACCTTGGCAAGCAAAATATGGAGAGTTTAGAGGAATTTCATTTGAAATGAGGACATGTGTAAGATTTTGTATATCACATGATAAAAAATAGTGATTTTATGTGAACAAACCGCCGAACGGTTTTCATGCATGATTTTATAATACATTTGGATGATTACGTCAGCAAGTCTTTCCTTTGCACAACGTAATGAGTGTCATTCGTATCATCATGATGTTATCTGTACATGTTTAATATAATATTATGATTCATTTGTATTAACACATTAGTTAGGTGATAAAATTTGTTTCTTTAACTCGAAGTGTTTACTTTGCATAATCTGAAATGTAATAAAAACATGTTTATCTCCCCTTTCCCCATCCTACCCGAGAATCGTGTATAACCACGCGTAGGCACCGCTGCTTGAATACATTTTCAATATTAACAGTGTATTGATATACTTATATATTTTTCTCCTGATGCAATATTCAAGGACTCAATACTTTTTCCAGGTATAAAGACTTGCATGCACCAGGAATCTCAAATAAGAATGAAAGAATTTCCACGTGCTAATAGTTGGCTGTTTCGCATAATGAAGATCTGTTCCTCAGATTATATTTTATTTTACTGCTTTTTGTTTTTATCACATTTTCTTTTTTATTTATAGTCTCATATACTCTGTGAATTCCTCGACAGATGTATTGAGAGAGAGAGAGAGAGAGAGAGAGAGAGAGAGAGAGAGAGAGAGAGAGAGAGAGAGAGAGAGAGAGAGAGAGAGAGAGATTATATTGTCCACTAATTAAGTCGTGTAAGCACGTATATATTTAGTGTATTGCTACAAATATTGTAAAAACCTTTTCTTGTATCTTTTCATGTGGACCAAAGTGTAATTATTGGTCACTGTGATGAGCAAGGGATGACTGTTTATATGCTTCTGTGTGTTATGGTGGCCTAGTGGTTAGAGCGTCCGCCTTGGATGCGGGAGGTCGCGGGTTCGAATCCCGGCTGAGTCATACTAAAGACTTTAAAAAATGATCCTGAGTGTCATTCGTATCATCATGATGTTATCTGTACATGTTTAATATAATATTATGATTCATTTGTATTAACACATTAGTTAGGTGATAAAATTTGTTTCTTTAACTCGAAGTGTTTACTTTGCATAATCTGAAATGTAATAAAAACATGTTTATCTCCCCTTTCCCCATCCTACCCGAGAATCGTGTATAACCACGCGTAGGCACCGCTGCTTGAATACATTTTCAATATTAACAGTGTATTGATATACTTACATATTTTTCTCCTGATGCAATATTCAAGGACTCAATACTTTTTCCAGGTATAAAGACTTGCATGCACCAGGAATCTCAAATAAGAATGAAAGAATTTCCACGTGCTAATAGTTGGCTGTTTCGCATAATGAAGATCTGTTCCTCAGATTATATTTTATTTTACTGCTTTTTGTTTTTATCACATTTTCTTTTTTATTTATAGTCTCATATACTCTGTGAATTCCTCGACAAATGTATTGAGAGAGAGAGAGAGAGAGAGAGAGAGAGAGAGAGAGAGAGAGAGAGAGAGAGAGAGAGAGAGAGAGAGAGAGAGATTATATTGTCCACTAATTAAGTCGTGTAAGCACGTATATATTTAGTGTATTGCTACAAATATTGTAAAAACCTTTTCTTGTATCTTTTCATGTGGACCAAAGTGTAATTATTGGTCACTGTGATGAGCAAGGGATGACTGTTTATATGCTTCTGTGTGCTATGGTGGCCTAGTGGTTAGAGCGTCCGCCTTGGATGCGGGAGGTCGCGGGTTCGAACCCCGGCTGAGTCATACTAAAGACTTTAAAAAATGATCCTGAGTGTCATTCGTATCATCATGATGTTATCTGTACATGTTTAATATAATATTATGATTCATTTGTATTAACACATTAGTTAGGTGATAAAATTTGTTTCTTTAACTCGAAGTGTTTACTTTGCATAATCTGAAATGTAATAAAAACATGTTTATCTCCCCTTTCCCCATCCTACCCGAGAATCGTGTATAACCACGCGTAGGCACCGCTGCTTGAATACATTTTCAATATTAACAGTGTATTGATATACTTACATATTTTTCTCCTGATGCAATATTCAAGGACTCAATACTTTTTCCAGGTATAAAGACTTGCATGCACCAGGAATCTCAAATAAGAATGAAAGAATTTCCACGTGCTAATAGTTGGCTGTTTCGCATAATGAAGATCTGTTCCTCAGATTATATTTTATTTTACTGCTTTTTGTTTTTATCACATTTTCTTTTTTATTTATAGTCTCATATACTCTGTGAATTCCTCGACAAATGTATTGAGAGAGAGAGAGAGAGAGAGAGAGAGAGAGAGAGAGAGAGAGAGAGAGAGAGAGAGAGAGAGAGAGAGAGAGAGAGAGATTATATTGTCCACTAATTAAGTCGTGTAAGCACGTATATATTTAGTGTATTGCTACAAATATTGTAAAAACCTTTTCTTGTATCTTTTCATGTGGACCAAAGTGTAATTATTGGTCACTGTGATGAGCAAGGGATGACTGTTTATATGCTTCTGTGTGCTATGGTGGCCTAGTGGTTAGAGCGTCCGCCTTGGATGCGGGAGGTCGCGGGTTCGAACCCCGGCTGAGTCATACTAAAGACTTTAAAAAATGATCCTGAGTGTCATTTGTATCATCATGATGTTATCTGTACATGTTTAATATAATATTATGATTCATTTGTATTAACACATTAGTTAGGTGATAAAATTTGTTTCTTTAACTCGAAGTGTTTACTTTGCATAATCTGAAATGTAATAAAAACATGTTTATCTCCCCTTTCCCCATCCTACCCGAGAATCGTGTATAACCACGCGTAGGCACCGCTGCTTGAATACATTTTCAATATTAACAGTGTATTGATATACTTATATATTTTTCTCCTGATGCAATATTCAAGGACTCAATACTTTTTCCAGGTATAAAGACTTGCATGCACCAATTTTATTTTACTGCTTTTTGTTTTTATCACATTTTCTTTTTTATTTATAGCCTCATATACTCTGTGAATTCCTCGACAGATGTATTGAGAGAGAGAGAGAGAGAGAGAGAGAGAGAGAGAGAGAGAGAGAGAGAGAGAGAGAGAGAGAGAGAGATTATATTGTCCACTAATTAAGTCGTGTAAGCACGTATATATTTAGTGTATTGCTACAAATATTGTAAAAACCTTTTCTTGTATCTTTTCATGTGGACCAAAGTGTAATTATTGGTCACTGTGATGAGCAAGGGATGACTGTTTATATGCTTCTGTGTGTTATGGTGGCCTAGTGGTTAGAGCGTCCGCCTTGGATGCGGGAGGTCTCGGGTTCGAACCCCGGCTGAGTCATGCCAAAGACTTTAAAAAATGATCCTAACAGCTGCCCCGCTTGACGTTCGGCATTAAGACGTTAATGTTAGGACTGGTTGGCTGGTGTCAGGATAATGTCACTGGGTGAGACATCATGCCACATGTCTGCGGCATGGTGCCTCAGTGATAAACACTATAAAAACTGTCACACTGCAGACATCGTAGCGATATAACTGAAAAATTGTTATAGCTACATCAAAAATCTAAATCACACACACACACACACACACATACACACACTATTATGTGTTAAAGAACGTAGCTTGGTACCACAACTAGTTTCATTTTGAGGCAGTCGTTGATGTTGCATTTAAGGTTAAACACAGTAGAAATTGTATTAGCATTAGCTACGTTTGTGATATTCGGTAAGTAATTACGTTTTTGATAGTGCTTTTATATTGGTCATGGGTTCGTTTCGATAAAATGTCCCCTTTTTTGCATATTAAAAGGGACATCCTTTATTTTTTAAATTAATTTGTGATTTAAAGTGTTTAATATTTCGATACTTTTGCATTATTTTGTCAAAGGAGCATTTAATGCAAAATGTTATTTTTTGTAACTGTAGGTGGTTACGAATTTTGTCTGAGACAAGTTCAGTCTGTTTGATTTATGTGTCATCAACGAAAGATAGAAGGCGATCCTGCGGCAGACTGCTTTTCTGATGGCGTTGATTCTAGAGAAGTAAGAGCCCAATTAGGGAGCAATTCGTTTCTCGTGTGGTCTCATAACGCTAGGGAGCAATTTGTTTCTCGTGTTGTCTCCTAACGCTTTCTAAAGCGAATTTTATCAAATAATGTACTGATCAGGTAAACAATCGATGTTTACCAATATTTTTTTTTTATTACGGAATATCAACTCGTTTTCCAAAATGTATTGTTTTCTTGCAACACAAAGTAGAGTTTAAGAAATCAGAATGAGTGGCTATCTATTATATATTCCTAGCAGCTGTTGATAACTTGGACCTATCATACCGTAAGCATGCGGGTCAATAGATGCAAGGCTTGAACGTGAACAATTGTTGGAAAAATTATATTTCTTGTATTATAATCAGCTAATATTATATTATAGGCTATTTTTTAAAATTACAAAATTACTTTAGTCTGTTAGGTCATACATCGTTTGTACTTTGCTTGTAGAAGCCTTGTCACGTTAATTTTGTTGACAAATAACCTATAACATTGCCCATTTTGAAGCTATTAAACGTTATATTTAATACAGGTCCTGCATTTTGTATCTTTGATTTTGTTTTTGTTTTTACGGGTGTTATGTTTATTGTGATTCAAACAGACTATTACTAAGCTAAACTGCGAAATAAAAGAAGGCTGTTTTTCATTTTTGTCCAGCTGATCTTGGCAGATGCTCGCATATGTCGGCTGTACGTGTCACGTCATGACCTAGATTGAGGTCAGTGTTAAGTTTTTAGTTAAGTTCGTTGTTATAATTTTTGTTTTTATACACTTTAGCTAAATACAAAAGGGGGCTTGTAATTTGTGCTTCTGTTTGCTTTCAATGACGGGAAGCTGTTCTGCCCTTGGATTACCGTTGAAGTTGGTTAAATGCGAACCGAATCGTATGATAACTAAGTTACATGCCAGTCGAATTGTATCATAAACATTGAATTTGGTTAGATGCCAGTCGAAATGTATTCTAATCATATAATTACAATCGAATTGTATCATAACCATAAAATTCGGTTACATGCCAGTTGAATCGTATAATAACCCTTGAATTTGGTTACATGTCAATCGAATTGTATGTGAACCCTTGAATTCGGTTACATGCCAATCGAATTGTATGTGAACCCTTGAATTCGATTACATGTCAATCGAGCTGTATGTGTAGGTTGATCTCGAACAAATGTTTTTACAAAATCATGTTGTGATTATGATAAATGTTTTCCATGCAATTTAGCAGTGTTATAATGTGCTGTGCATACTAAACTATTGCACGTCATTCATTATCTAGTTTTTTTTATATCATAATATACGCTGGTTTTCGTGGAATGCGAGTATCATGACTATGTACTCTATATATGACATTGGTACTTTTCACTCTTTTCGCCAGAATTGGATTTGAATATTACAACAGATTTTTTAATAACGCCTGTAAAGAAGTTGTTGTAAATTGGTACTGTTGACATAGTGCTGGAATATTCAAGCTGTACAATTTTACAATTTTAGATATATGGATGCTATCTCAGAGCGCAAAATTTGTATTTGTGATCGAAACTAATCGAATAAATTCTAACACCAAATTACAGACAATTGTGTCTTATTTTGTTTTCAAATACGAGCAAAGAAGGGAATTGATGGTTTCAAAGTAATTTTTGTTCCATTTACATGTTTTGGACCGTAGTAATTTTTAAAAGCCTCAAGCCTTTTTTTATTTTTAAATCTGAGCTTAATTTCGAAGAATGCGAGTAAATATGCAATGGCTACCATTATTTCCTTATTGAATACTAATATTCGGAGCATTTATCTTCAAATCACGTTTACATCAAGGAATGTAAAACATGGTTTCGAGTTCTTCACCATTGTTTATGGAGCTCCTTGCGACTGAGTGATCTAGGGCGTCGCCTTTATAGATCAGTGACATCTCGCCTCGGTCCGCGTGGGTTCGTGTCTTCGGCTCGGCAACGTGGGCATATGAGAAGCTTAGCAATAGCTTCTTGTGGGTCGATGCTGCTTTTTGAGGTCTTTCATGGTTCTTCCGCCACCAAATATACTGACCGCTGTGTATATCCTTTGATTTGTTAAAATGTCCTTAAATCCATAAAACAACACCAGTCAACCTTTGTTTATCGTGCAGAGGTGGTCTCTGGTCACAATTATTCCTTTCACTTGAGAACCCACAAATGTAGACCCAGTCTAATTCAAAAGCATTTTTCTCTCTCTTGTGGTGGTTATGCAAGAGTTAAGTTCAGGCATTCATGGTATTGATTTAAAGGAAATGGTTTATATTTTAGAATATGAACATTGTGATGTGGTTGTCGGTATTTTGGCGACAGTGCTGTGAGTAATGAGGTAGTGGTATTGATCCAACAGTGAAATTTGTGACCTGTTGCGCGTTGCTTTGTTTTACAGCCCATCATCTGGAAATAATGCCGGTTAACATCTGACAAGAACTTCACCTTGAGATATCTTTGAAGATACTTTAAAGCAACATATGATTTATTACGATATGGGCACAGCGTAAAGTTCAGTACTGACAAGCAACTGTATCTATAACAGTAGTCATTTAAATTCGAAGATTCGCTCCGTGCAATGATCTGTGGGCTTGGAGATGGTTCTGCTGTCCTTCGCTTGACTTGCATAGCCGATGACAGATGCCACATTGGAAGGCCGTTGTAGTGACAGGGAGGGTCGTTGACCTGTGATGACGCTCAAGGGCTGCATCCGCCTGGCTTTGATGGGTTGAGA